TAGTTCGTTTGTAAGGTTGTGTGAGGTTAGAAATCCAAGAATAAATATTATCAAGCAGAAGTACAGGACACGAGGTTGACGATGATAATTTACTAAATATTCTAAGGATTTTTCTATCCTGAACTGATGCCGACTTATGAATTATAAAAAAGTATGGATCCTAATAGTATGGTCCTCCAATATTTCTGACCTTAATTATTTTATTAAAGTAGTATGGTATAAAACGAAACATATTAATGAACAAGCCCCAACGGATATTACCAGAACCTAAAGGCAAAATAGAGCAAATTTGGGAGATATTTTCCCCTGGAAAGTGCATATCCCTATTTGATTCAACGGTCATAATTCAAGAGGTCATAAAATCTCACTCCATTTTGAAAATAAAAATTCGTAAAAATTATTATTTGTTATAAATTATTTTAAAATTAATAATTTTGTCTTAATATCCTAAAATATATTTGTAAATTTTAGTTGGTGGGTCGTAGAAAAAATATACTGTACAACTCAAGTGGATTGTCCACATAGCACTTAGATGATTGAGCACTCCGCCTACGACGTCGTGCTCATATCCACTCTTGTTGATCAAACTACTATTGTGTTTGTGTTACTGATTGCCCCCCATTATTGTTAATTATATAATAGGTTAGGTTAGGTTGAAAATGATCTTAACCATCTACTGCGACCAAGTTGGATCTATTGTGGCTCATATCTAACTTATAGTTCACCTTACTAGCCACACCTTTTAATGAAGGCTTTGGTTGAATGGGCCATGTTCACATGTGAGATATGATATTTTATAAATTATATTGTAATAGTTAGTCGCTATACAAGTTCTCTAAATAATCAGTTTGTTAAAAAAGCCAAAAATTTTTAAATTAAAACCAATTTGAATTTAACATTTGAAATGTGTACGTTATCGGTAATAGACCAATCAGCTTGTGTCGAAGTTTTTTTTGTTATTCAAAACCAAGCCAATGAACGCACGTCTTAGTGACACTTAAAATTGACACCACTTAGACCGCCTAACCTAACATCCGTTATTGTTTTGTATACTTTTTTCTCAATTCTCGATTTATTTCTTTTATATTTGCTAATTCGTTTAATTTTATTATTAATATGAGTTTGTCAGCTGGAATTATAAAAACTGATTTAAGTGTTTTACCCATTGTTAACCAAGATATGATTACTGCATTTTTTTTAACAATACTCAGTTTATAAGTGCCAAAGTTAAGCATGTTAAGAAAGAAAGGTATGTTATACTTTATTTTTAATTTGATTTAACAGTAGTTACAGTTTATATGGAGCAATACACCTTATAGTAAAAACATATTTATCTCAGGCCATAAGGGTTGTCAAACAGTAACAGTTTTTCTAAAACAAACATTTTACTTTTACCCTTTACCTCATTTATATCTATAAGAAAAATATATTTTTTTATAATATATTAGCGTACACTAATATCCACAAATATAACACTAGAAATTGGGATGATATATCTGTACCTTGAAGCAACAAGGGCCAATCTCTAATTTGAACAAGATAGTGACGTTTAAAGCTGTACTGTTGGTATTATTTCTATAATTAGAAATAAAAGTATAATTATGTTTTATCTGAGAAATAGCAAATTTGTTATTGTATAAAACGAGTTTATACAATAAGCAAATTGTATAAAAACAGTTTATAAAATTTTCTTACCTCAAAAATTAAAATTAAATAATATCTAAAACTATTTAGAAGGATAGTGCACATGTATTTACTGTACTACTACTACTTTTTATTGGTCGATGATTACCTACTTGCTACATGTCATTGCATATAATTGTAATTTAAGTACATTTTTGTGTATGAATGACTACTTTTTGTAAATATACAAACTCTTTCTCTTACAACTATTATACACATGTCTAGTATTTACATGAATAAATCTACGATAATGTTGCTAAATTGAAATATTAAAAACACAAATATGTTTAGTTTTTATGAAATAATTTGGAACATAGAAAAGTAATAAAAATTGAAAAAATAGGAATCCATAAAAATATACTCTTTAAAATACTAAAAAACTTGAATTTGACAATAAATCTTTAGAAGAAATTTTAATTTGTGCATCTTCATTATTGTTAGGACTTGTGTATATATTTTTTATTATTTGTAGATAAACTCTTTTTTACTTTGTTTATCTTATTCAGGTACTTTTTTAATAATAGGTTAATAAATAAAATTTTCACAGATTTTACATTTTTGTGTATATGCAATTATTATAATCTCTAAAATGTGATAAATTAATAAAAAAATCAAACTGTTTATTAAATTGTTAGGTATTTAGTCTAACAAAATAAGTTCTTTTAGGTTAACAATAACACTAATTCACACAGAAATGTAAAAGGTTTATGTAAGCTACACTTTTCTTCTTATAAATATTATTGAGGATTTTAAAAACACTGTTGGGCAATTCTAAATATACCTTCGGTTTATTTTTTTTATTGGTTTTGAAGATCCTCCTCATAATTATTAAGTCCCTCTGAATCAGATATTTCTTCTGATTCAGACAAAACTTCACTATCTTTAAAACTTTCAGGAGGTTCCGAGGGAGGTTCTTTTAGAAGGTATTTTAGGATATACACCTTCAAACTTATAGTAGGCTCATTTTAAATTTCCCGAAGGGGGAAGGGAACAATGTCAGAAATTACTGCTTCATCTTGAAATCCGGTGTATTTTTATTAAATAGAGATGAAAAACGCAACTAGCAGAAGGTTATTTTCCAGTCAACTTTTTAGAAAACATTTTTTTTTGTTTTCTGTTTTTCTTTTTTGATAGAATCAGTGAGTTGGCTCTTGTGTGCTGAATAACAAGAACTGTTGAGACATTTGTGTGATACTACCCACTTCTTATGTAAAGATTTATCCATCTTTTAAAAAATGAACAGTTTTTAAAATCATCTGGTATCTAAAAAAATAGAGAAGAACATCGTTACTACAATGGTAGATAATAAATTACAATAAAACATTTTCATTTTAATTATAGATACAAACCTCAAAATAATGTAGCTGTTGCTTGAGGCGTTTCTGTGTAATAATAATAATAATAATAATAATAATAATAATAATAATTTTCTTCTTTTCATATTTCTAGCAACACTAATACATATTTTTAATAATGAATATAAACTGTAAATCATTATCACATCTTGGGAGGAAATATTTTTTTCGTACTCATAATATTTATAAAAACATCAAAATTAAATAATTATCGATTGACACAACACACAAATTCTTGATTGACAGATGACAGACACATGCAGTGTTGTCGCTTTGCGATTTTCTTGTTTATTAGTTGTTGTTTTTTAAAACAATGAAACTATAAATGTGGTGAAAGTTTAAAGTTAAATAATACTTTTAAAAACATTTGATATTTTCTATTTTAAAGATATTTATTTAACGATATTTAAGAAGTCTAAAAATAAGACGGTGCACACAAACGAACGTTTATTACTTTTCGTATACTGTCTAACTGGCAACGTTGTGTGGCTAGTTCCTATTGATCTATTCCCAGTGACGACATAAATTTTTAAAAAATTAATAACTCAGGCAGATTATTAGATGAAAAAAATTTAAATGTAGCTTTATTTTGAACTGTGTTATTCATAAAAAAAAATTCAAAATTTTTGAACATGCCCGATTGGGTGAGACTTATTTAAAGTCGATCTGTTACCTAGTTTTTTTTAAAGTGGGCCATGGAGCAAATTCGTCTTCCACGCTGTAGAATCAAAAGGCCGATTACATTGTAATAAATAAAAAAAAATGTATTTAAATAAAAAAAAAAAAATTTGTTTTTTTCATTGGAATTATTATTTTTATTTGTGTTATTGTGTTATTAGTGTTTTATGTTTATTAACACCTCAAGTGCCATGAGGTATATTGCATGTACCACACCTAATTTTGCTACTGGGGCCACGCGGCACATATGTTGTGCCCGAGTGTAACAGTAGGAATAGTCATAAAAAAAGTTGAAATTCCGATTGCATGGAGGTGTTAAAATGTAAATCTTATAAAATTTTATTTAAATTTCTACTAAATAGTAAATTTTTTTGACTGTGCCTAGATATGTTTCTTTGGGTGTTGGTAATTTGGGTCCCGACAGGCCATTTATAAATATCTTGAACAAGTAATAAGGCAACTGCTCCGAAAACCAAGTTTTTGAATTAACACAGTATATTCAGAGTGACTTCATAAATTTTTTATTTATGGAGCGATTTTGACGAAATTTGTTTTGACGTGTGGAGGGGGAAAAGGTGCGTATTTTGCAGTCCAACGACGTCCATTTTTTTTCACCAAGTCATGCAAGATCACATTCTTCAGAGGCTGAAAAATCCAGAATCCCACTGGAATTGGCGTCCTCTGAAATTGATCTTTACAAAGTTTTATCAAAAAATATTTAACACTATCGATTCTATGACTAAATTACTGACAAGTTGTTTATTATGCATTAAAAAGCTTTTTATCTAGTAACCCATGCGATAACGAAAACTAGTAAATAATCCTTGGTTTAAAAAAAACTGACCGTCGCTTGGTTCCAAAATATACCTTTCCCCCTCCACATTTAAAAAATCGTCAAAATCCCTCCATAAATAAAAAATTATTATTGTGGCCCGCTTTTTAATTGTCACTTTGTGTGTATGCTCTTCAAAAAGGAGTAAATATTTATAGTTTTTTTCATTGCTTTTAACTCACTTTTTCTAGGCTTATATTTTATTGAAACCGAACTATTGGCATAGGTCTGTTTTTAGAAAATATGTCAAGGGATAGGTTTTTTAGCTATGAACTTTCTTTTACTTTGTAGATACATTTTCCTAACCACAATATTGCAATAATAAATTTTATCAAGTAAGGTCTTTATTAGACCCTATATAGAAGCACTGTGCAACACAAACAAAAAAAAATATTTTCTATCTTTTAACGAACAGATGATACGTTTCACTGAAAAGCTTCATATCAAGCAAAATGTCAAAGGGAAACCGTAATTTTTTTTGTTTATGTGAAAAGAATGGAATCGCTAATGATTTTCTTCCTTACCAAGGTAAAGAAAGATAACTAAATGAAGAAAATTTAAAGATATATGGGCTAGGAGCCGGCGTGATTCTACATTTTGCATATTAAATTCAGCCCATTAACCATAAGTTGTTCTTTGACAATTATTTTTCCCTTTATGGAATTATACCTCTACTTGCAAACCAAAAATGTTGGTCTGAAGGTATTGCAAAAATAAACCGATGTCAAAGACCGTTGTTACTTCCTAAAAAGTAAATAAACAAAAAAGCGGATATGCAGATAAAATCATTGGTATGAAAATTGTGAATCACAAATCGAAATCCAAAAAATCAGTATATCTGAAAAATATCAACAATCCCCCTACGAATTACCAATCCCCGAACCCCAAAGGTGAAAACAAATTGAATCGGTGAGTGAAAGAACAGTATATATCCAAAATGACCATTTTGAGAAAAACAAAAAAAACTGTTTTAAAGGAAAACTATAGGTTATTCGGCTTAATTATGTATTGTGAAGTTATAGAATTTTTGTTAACCGATAATATTACGTAGATAAATTTAAAAAGAAAATTATGCAAAAAATAATATTTGAAAAAAATGACTTGCAGTTATACTGTTCTTTCACTCAATTTAAAAAAAAAAATACTATAAATTTTTTTATAGCTTTATTGATTATCATTTAACAAATTTATTTGTAATTTTTGTTCAAAATCCTTATTTTTTACTTTCCAAGAAGTAATATGGTAGTGAAACTCTAGGATTTAATCACTAAAGTAAGATGAAAGTGTCTTTAAATTGGCTATCTTCTTTACGTTAATAGGGGCAACTTCTGAGTATGCCTTTTGTAATTGCGGGCATTCACTCAACTGTCTACCTGTGCAGGTGTGCCTGCGCAGGTTCACCATACGATGTCACTAAAGAGAATTGATTTTCTATTTTGCTCCGGACGCCTGTGCAGGTTCAAAACACTGCACAGGTCGATTCCAATACACGCTCCGGTCTACCCGTGCAGGGCGTGCAGGCACACGTGCACAGGCAGACCTCTGCGGTAGATCGTAGCGTGTATGCCCACCATAAGGGTAATTGCGGGTTGGCATTAGCTTTGATCAATTTAAAAGTGTGCGAGAAAAAACCACCTATAAAGACACTTGTAGTAACATACCCAGGAGTTTCACTAGTGTGAACTGACAAATTTAGCTTTTTGTTCATCAACTGATTTGGTCGTTTTTTTATGAAATTGTTACCACCAGTATTTGAAATCAGTCAAATTTGTCTACGAAACGACATGGCGACTGAGGAAAAAACAGTACATGTGCCGCACGTGTACTGTTCTTTCACTCAGCCGAAAATTGAACTAGCTCCCATGGCTCGTACGATGTTGTTCGGTGTATTATTCTTTCGCTATATGATAGGCCTATGAAATTTAAACAATTTGCCTATCTCAGTTAAAATTGCCATTTTTGGCACTTGTATTGTTCTTTCACTCACCGATTCAATTATTTTAGATTGTAAAAAAAGCTGTCATCGCTGGGGTTCGGACTATGAAGACTAGGGATAAGGAGGCGAATCGGCATGCTCAAAATACGGTCCCAAAAATCACACGTCAATTGAGCTTTTATAATTAACCGCATGGGCGCTGGTACTGTTTACGTAGTTCAAAATACATGGCTTCTTATGAGAATTATACATAATTTTGTCAAAATAATAAAAATAAACTTGTTTATAGCTAAATAAGGCACAGAACATACTGTTGTATTTATTTCTAAATAAGTCTTACATATTTTAATTGATACATTATTTACTATTTATTCCTATTTAAGTAAAATGCAAATTATTAATGACAAGTGTTGAAATTTGATGGGTAGGGCTAATTATGTTTTAATTAAAGCTAAATAGGGCTGAGGACATACTAAGACACGGTTTAAATGAAAATATTTACTTAGGGGTTTTACAAAATTTTATGAAAATAATAAAAATCAAATTGTTTATTGCTAACTAAAGCACAGAAAATACTGTTGATTTTAATTATTGTAAATAAGTCTTTCTTTTAATTGCTAACTAAAATACAGAAAATACTGTTGGTATTAATTATAAATGAGTCTTTATGTTAAACATTATTTACTATTAATTATTTAATTTTATCTAAATAAAATGAAAATTAGGTATGACCAAATTTGAAAAGGTTTGTTAAATGGTGAAATTTGGTAATAACAGTTTTGTGGTAATTTTGTATTCGACAACTAACAATGGTGACATTTAATTTGTTCCTAAAAGTGGCAAAATTCTTAAATAACATAATTAATGAAAAATTTCTAATTCCCCTTACAACATTATGAAAATTACTTTCTCATATCCCCAAAGTGAAAAGAAATTAAAGAAAAATTGAAAAGATCTGGTAGTGCAGGCATTTGTTTTTCCTTTTTTTCTCAGCTTTTTAATTTTTAGTCTGTTGTCACTTTGGGGATATGTGTAATAATTTCGTAGGACAGTTAGGTTTTTTTCATTTTCATAATTTCTAAATCTAAATTACAAATACATATTTACAATTTTGATTGCTTTTGTAGACACCTACTTTTTTCTTTCTTAGCTTCATCAATTTTATTAATTTGTTTACAAATAAAATGCATTCTACTGATTGGGAAAAAGCGAATTATTGCAGATGTAACATTTTCTTTGTGTTCATCATACCCTCCCTACAAATAAAATGCCCATCTCTTCAATTTTATTCAAGATTTCAATAAGAAATTCTTGATGAACTTGGTTTCTTGATAAAACCTCTTAGTCGATTCCAGCATTGATATTAAAAAATAAGAGAATTAAATTAAAAACCCTTCACTTGTTAACGTAATTAATTGATCTTGACACTGAGGCTAAATACTTTTAATTGTCGAATGCAAGTTTCACATTTTGTAAATCTTTTCTTGCAATGTATCCAGAAACGTTAGATAAAATAACTGGAGAGGTTTTTGTAATATTGTAGTCATGATCTTTTAAATTAGGTGGTTTTTGTTTTTTCCTAAAACTGGACAAGTATGAAGGGAGATTCGGAAAAATATATATGGTATTGCTTCGTTATTTAATCTCGGTCTTTCCCTTTTTATTTTGTTCACAGTACCATTAGTTAAAATATTCTCATTAAATTTTAAAATATATTCTATAAAGTGTAGCTCGCAAATAGAATCATAACTAGACAGTACTTTATCAGCCCTAGGAATCACATGCTGCCGTTGTTCTAAACGTTGAAGATCCTATAAAAAATATTTGCAATGACTAAATTGGAGTTCAAGAAAGAAAAATAACAGTAGTAACTCTTCATCTAACATTAAAAAACATCAAAAAGGCAAATTTTCTTTTCTAGTAAGTTAAATTTAATGTGTAATTATTGTTGTTTTAAATCAAGATTTATGACTTTATTATTTTTTATTATAGAATTTTGTAATTAAATCAACTACACTCCGTAAGATACGGGTTGTGACTATTTTACAATAAATATATATTATTTAGAAATATAGTATATTACATTACGAGTGTGGAAAATCACTTTTCACACAAGTGATGTACAATATTTTTTCTACGACCACAAAATAATGTCATCAAAAAAATGTAAAACAAAGGTTATTATTACTATAATAATTAAAAAGTATTTAAAAAATAATCAACAATAATCGTATTTATTCAATTTTCATATTTTCTGAACAAAAAAAAACTAAAAAAAAAATAAAAATAAAACAAAAAAAAATTCTGCCCCGCCAGGATTTGAACGCGGTCAAAAAATGGCAAAGTTGATAAGTTCGACGTTCTAACCACCTAAGCTAATAGCCCTTGTGTCAATTGAATGATCTAATCGGTTATGTATTTAACCAGAATAAAGAGCAAACATTATTTTAAAATTATTTTAATAATAATTGTTAAAGATAAATATCTAGGATCCAATTTACAACAATTTCAATAATTTAACAATCATATCGATTTTAGTATTAATATGGACATTACATAGATCAAAATAGAAATTAGGTGTTTGACATTTTGTGACAACTACTGCGGAAAGTAACATATTCTCACTCGGTTGGAAAGTAAATTCTTATTCATACGCGTGTGATATAGGGCACTTTCCATAGGACTATATAGTGTGATATGTGTCACTTTCCTAAGTGGTCGTAGGAAAAATACATTATTTTACTTACACTAGGAGCTTTAAAAAGACTTGGATTTTTATCTCCTTGTAATGTCTTTAATTTTATATCGGATTTATATTTCATTTTTTAATCTGGAACGAAGCAAATCCTGCTTTGTCGTTTTTTGTTACACATTGTTACTTGTAGTAAGATTCCTTTATTTCAGCTTATTTTTATTCTTTTCACTAAATTTTACAAAAATCACTTTAATTCCCATTGACTTGCATAGAAAATAGACGTCGTTATTTTGCCACCCGCCAACTACAGTAGTTTTTTGGAACTCCACAAAAATAGGGACAGAAATTTGAAATTTGACCAAGGCCGATTCGTCGCCTTATCTCTTGTCTTCATAGTTCGGACACATGTCTAAGAAGTATAATGAATGATTGACGTATAGCAGGTTGCAAGGATTTACTGATTTGTATAGTAATTAACATCTTAAGCACTTAAGAAATACATAGGCTGTGGTGTGGAGACCTTTTATCGTAGATCAGATCTATTTTACTCCTTGACAAAGCCCGTTTCTCATTGACATAAGTCAAATTTACCGTGTATACATAAATATACATACATACATACATATACATATTATTCAAAAATAGATATCTTTAAAAGTCATTTTATTATTAGAAACTCTCGTAGATAAGAATTTGAGTGACCTAATCTTCTGATGGTATATCCTTTATTTTCATTAAAATTAAAATAGTAATTTTTGTTTCCGTAATTTTATCAATTACTTTTATACTTATAGATATGAGAATTTAAATACGATGATGCCTATCATTTAAATTTATGGTAATGGAGTTATTATACCTAGTGCCTAATCCACGGTCTTTACTAAGAGCTTTAAACTC